ATATATATATATATATATATATAGTGTATTTCAATTCCAATTTACTTATTTATTTTGCTAATTTATCTACTTTTCCAGAATTCAGTAGCCATTAAGTTGATGTACTCACTCAGACTGAGAAGTACTAGGGTTAGAATTGGTTTCTTCTATGTCACATCCACTTGCTTGAGTATCCACGTGCATGTTGACTGCCATTTCAAGATTTCCATTGCATGCTTCTAGCATTTGTTTTGCCACAGGTTCTCCTGCATCTGTGTGTAATAATAAAAAAATATACTTTTAGCCTTTTTTTTGGTAAAATATAATTATCAAATACATTATCAAAATTAAATAATACATGAATATAAGTGACTCATCTGAGTTGTTACATCAAAATTAAATTTTTTTTTTATTACACGTGAGTGTAAAAATTTAATATATTTAGTGTACATGATAATTTTTCAATAAATTGTATAACTTTTGCATTTAACCAAATTACCACTCAAAATTAAGTTGTGTATCTTCTAACTGGCTAAGAGATGCAATTATCTAAATTTATACACTCATTTTGCATTTATTTAGATTGGTATGGCATGTCATGTTATATATATAAGGATATACACACACATGGATACAGCCATTTTTAACCACATTAACATTATTTCTCCAGAACTAGACCCTTGAGAACTACAGCAATGGTTGAGATAACTTTGAAAAATGTTTAAACCCTTCAATTATTTCTCCACAACTAGAGTTGTAATGCAATTAAAGTCTAGTGCTGAGCCATTATCACTTTTGCAATTTGATTTAATCATTGATCTGATATTTGTAAATAATCCCAATTATGATTATCAATAATTCTAATTCAGCTAATCGAATAAAAAAATGGAAAAAGGATATTAACAATTAAACAAAAAGATAACAGATAACTTTGTATCCACTAACCCTTTCACAACGGACAGATACAAATTACATTCGAAGATATGTATGGAACAATACGGACTATAACTCTGAGATTTTTTTACAGATTCTCACAAAAACTAGTAAGAATTTGTTAAATATTATAAGTATCTTGTACACAAAGAATAACATTTTAATTGTCTTCCTACTAAATATATTTTATCTATCTATTGTAGTAATTTTTACTCAAATTATGAATTGTTGGAGTGCAAGGTGATTTTCATTTTAAATATAAAAACTTGTCTTCATCTTACAGTTTTCAAATTTCATGATCATTTGCATGTGGATATGCAGAAATGGGAGATGGAAGGCTAGGGGCAAGCATTGAAGTTTTGTGTTGGTAGAGGACAGTAATAATCAAAAGTCAGATATAAAAGACTGTTTAGTGTAGGTAGTATTATTAATTTATATATTTTGTGTTTGTAATTCATTGATGTCAAGGCTATGGAGATTTCTAGAAGGCCTAAGTAACAGATGTATAAATAACTGTGACCAGGTAAGCAGAATCAGAGTAAAAGTAAAGTCATGTGAAAGAGAAGTTTGATCAGAGAAAAGTTAGAAAGCGTAAAGTTAACTGTCATGGAAATGAATGGTCTAACAGTTGATATGTTACAGTACGATTAACAGTTTGAAAGAGATAAGGAGAATAATTTGTCTGATCAAAGGGTGTTTTAAACTAACTGAACCCACCCGTGTGGACTTTGAGAAAAGGCAGACGATTATTGAAAGTTCAGTATGCAACTGCTGTAATTTATGCTACAGCATAAGTGAATTATACACAGATACTATTGCAATAAAAATAGTTTGGCTTGCCAATTGAATTTGACTGGACTTTTGATAAGAAGAGGACTGTATAGTGTTTAAGATAGAACTATGATCTCCATAATGTAAAGAAAACTACAGTATAAGAAATTGTGAAAGACAGCAGAAATAGGTAGGCCTATATATGCACAACTATAGTAGTAGTGCAAATAGTGTGGAGGTTACAATCACGCTATATAACCATGTCAAATTTTGATAAATGGATAGAAAGAGGAGAGTGTCTTGGGTTAAAAGACAGTGAACTACGAGAGTTTGTTAAACAACAACTAGAACTGGAGTGAGAAGAGTGGCAACAAAAGAGAGAGGGAGAAAGACTGAAGGGAGAAAAGGAGAGATAGACTGGAAATAGAGAGAAAGAAAATAATAGCACAAATTGAGAGAGAAGAAAAGGAAAAAAGAGAGAGGAGAGACTAGAAAGAGAGAGAATAAGAGCACAAACTGAGATTGCAAAGCTCACCCAACTAAAGGAAGAAGGATCCAGGAATGATAATGGAGTCAGGGCCAGACGACCCAAGCTGCCTAAATTTGATGAACAGAAAGATGACATGGATGCTTTCCTGGGGAGATATGAAAGATTTGCCCAAAGTCAGAACTGGGACAAAGACGACTGGGCAGTCTGTATCAGCCCACTTCTCACAGGAAAAGGCCTACAAGTATATGCAGTCATGACGTCAGAAGATGCCATGGATTATGACATATGAAAAGTGGCTTTGCTGAAACAATACTAGCTTAATGAAGAGGGTTTTAGCTGGAAGTTCAGAGAAGTCATACCTGACAATTTTAATTCATATTTTTACCTGACTTTACAGTAATGATGTATAGTTTTACCGAGAAAAACCTTTTGATATTCATCAGGGAGGTTCTAAACGTTAGGTAAATTAAATATGAAAACTCTTTAAGATGAAGTTTTTATTCTTAATATGAAAATCATTTTGCACTCAGATGACTCAGTAAAAGCTTTGGAAATTCACAAACAAATCTTAAGAATATTTTATTACAAATTCAAATTTTTTGTGCATAATAGACTTGTAATGTATACTAGAAGCTTGCCTAATTTTGTGAAGTAACTTCAGAATTATAATAAACATTACTATGCATAGCTTTACAGAAATTAAGTCAGTCCAATGGATCGATGCCATGCACATAAGATTAAACACCATTCACCCTTATGGAATACACCTAGATTCTGGGATCAGTGAACTTTGACCTTTAATTATTTCCCTGTCTGACAATTTTTTTCTTACTCAATCATGTATGATATAAGCACTTTATTTTTACCCTTAATCTTTCTTAATACTTTTTATTTATGTTAATTTTCCATGGTTATTTTTATCTTTTGAATTCTTTCTACTTAACATTTTTTTGCTAAGTGATTTTAATATCATATCTTTATTTTACTTTATCAATAACCATTATAGTTTCTCTTTCAAGTTTAATTTTTTTATATACAAAACTTAACCTCTTTATATGTAACATTCTACTTCCTGCTTTATTCCAGTTGTACTGCATAACAGAAATTAGTTACACCTGCAACATTCCTTTGGAAGCTAATTGAAACAATTCTGTGTTGTCATGATAGTGTACTTTATGTAACCATGAAATCACTCCACCTTTTCTCACACTTAACTTAGTCATTCCCAATTTGCCATTGATGAAGATAGGTCTACCTCTTGAAAGTGTTCGTGTAACATGGTTTCTTATTTTGTCTTTCATTAGTTTTTTGGACTGACATGTTTTTCAACATCAACCACATAATGAACATAGTCGATACAGATTATGAACAACTTTCTTCATCATAATTGTATGTACTCCAAGTCAAGTCTATGCATTTAATCTTTCACAATTACAATATTATTGAACTCCAGCAAAAGCTATACTGGGTCAATTACTTACCATAGTATGGTCATTCCTTCAATACAGAGAACATAATTAATATAGTTGCAACAGGATACAAATACCCTTCCTTAGCCTAAACTTACATACTCCCACACAAGTCTAAACAATTATCACACCATAGAAATTTAAAGCTATGTCTTAACTTTCCTCAAGTTATATGATAAATTTTCTTGAATTATGTTTCCATTTTTAAGAACTAGCCACCACTGGTTTGTTCTCTTCATGAGCTCTCTTTTAATTCTTGCTCTTGGGCAGACTCATTTACATATACTAATGGATATAACTAGAACTTATCCATATGCATCAGAGTTGCTATCATTCTGCTGACATGTAGCTGGAACTTGCCACATGCTATACAAGACATAAGATTATATATATATTTATGTAATTAACAGTATTAACTTTAACTTTATATATATTCTAATTATTTACTATATCAGGTAGGTTTAATTTATAACATTAAACTTCTTACACAGCAATAACTACATTGGTCAAATGTGACAGGTATGTGATTATTTTGCTTTGGTGCTTAGTAATTCATTAAGCAAACCCAGTCTGGTCACGTGTTTTTAGGATAAGGGCCAAAAATACTACTAACAGCAAGGATACCCAATTGATGATACAAGACAAAGTGGGCATAGGCTTTTTTTTGCAGTTTGCCTGTCACTCATAATTTAGATAAATTACTATTAATTGTAATTTTCATTGACAATTTTAGCAATTCTTCTGGTAAAAGTTACTACATAATTCTAGGGCTATGGTCAAAGATAGTTCTAAAGGTTCAAAGGCTCAAAAGGTAGGAATACAGCAGTGTTAGATATCTGTTTCTTTTATCAACAGAAACCTGTTGGCAATGTTTTGGATAGTAATCACATATTAAATGTCATTCACTTGGAAAATTCAATGTTTTGATTTGTAAAATGCCCATGTTTTTCTAAATAACATTGTATTAAAACACACACATACAACACAAAAGTGTTGTTGCAGCTCCTCCTATGCATTGGAGCAAACCATTAAGGTGAATTACAGTAACTGCATTGCTTCAATAAAATGCTCATAATGCCTAGTGTGTAAAGCTTCCATTATTTAAAGTAAAACTTTGTTATAGTTGAAGGTCCATATTTATTTTCAAACTGAAGCACTGCTATTACTCTGTTTCTTCTTGATGTTTATTTATTGTCATTTTCATTATTATTTACTCATTTGCCTGATGCCTTTATCCAAGGCATATTACTTTACTAAATAAACAATATTGTTAAAAAAAAAAAAAATTTAACTGATAATAACTCTCTTGTAGCTTTTCATTATAACTGAAAGTCCATATTTATTTTCTAATCTAACTGTTATAAACTATTTATGGAAACTTACTTTTACATGAAATACGTTCACTTTGTACTGTTAACCCTTTAAGCCCATCATTTCTTGTGCATTCTGCCAGAATTATTTTAATGATATCCTAATAATTATCACTATACCTTATAAATTTTCCAGTCTATTTACATAAGGTGGATGATAATTTGGTTTGGATTAGTTTTCAGCCAAAGAGAAATGTTATAGGACACTGTTATCATCTGATGGATAAATCTGAATTTCGGGCGGATACTGGAAGCTCCGCTCTGGTTTAAGGAATTAATGCATTTAAAATTAAAAAGTAGTTAAGTAACTTACAACTGTAAATAATGATTTTATTCATAGAATATTATGCATATAAAACAATGTTGTTTAAATACTTACTACAATCCAAATAAAGTTTCAGTAACTCATATTTGAACATGTAAAGTCTTTACTATTTTTAGAAGTCACGAGAGAGTGTGTAATACATTCTCGCAGAATCAGCAAAACTAATGAACGCTAAACTTAGAGCAATGTCCATAAGAAAGTAAATCACGATTCATAATATTCGACCTTACTCAGGTTACTGCTTGTGTTTACTATTAGGCTACGTAAAATATCACAACTAGTAGTACTGATAGTGGTACTGTAGTGTAGCATAGACCACAATTTAATTTTAGGTTAGACTTTAGATTACTATAGAACACTGACAATGTTTCAAATTTCACTATCAAAGTAGTATTTGCAAACATTTTTTTTTAAATATAGGTGCTAGAACATATAAATATATATATATATACTTATTTACCTGTAATTGCACAAAATTGTTCAATCAGCGTCTTCATATCTTTGTCTTTCGAAACAACTGATGAGCAAGCTGCCATCTTGGTTGAAAGCTGGTACTATCTATTATCCAATGAAAAGAAAAATTCTTGAATAGTGATACAACTATAATACAATAATTCAATAATACAACTAAATTAATTGAACCAAAGCTTATATGTCAATTAAAAGTAGATGCAAATTCTAATCAATTGTGTAAAAAGCTGGATTTTTATTGGTGTAATCTTTTAACGTTTAAATAATAACAAAGTCTGTGAATATTAAAAAAAACTATATCTAGTTAATTTTGTTGCTCAAGGAAATTCATGAACATTTTCAACATTATATTGTAAAAACATTTCTTTGGTAATAATAAAGTTTCTTTGTGAACCATTCACAAAAATAATCTTTATTCGCTGTTGAATTTTCGTAATTATGATTTAATAGAAATATATATATGTAGTAAAGGAAAAATTTGCATTTTGAGGGATAGGCTCTTGTTAATCTAACCTGCTTTTTTGAGGTGAAGCAATATGCTAGCATAGCGTTTATAAACTTTCTTACCAGTGATCAATTTTTCTAAGTTTCCATGCAGGTGTTCTGCGTGTAGTATAAAATTCATACAATCCGCATGTACTAATCGTTTTACTCAAGTAAAGGTTGCATACGCCAATGGCAAGAAATGAATATCACCATGGTCCTATTTTTTGTCCCCCATGTAGAGTTTCCACCCCATCTCAATGGATAACCCAGAAACATGTACAAATTAGTATGAGCAAAATTTTTGTCACCCCCACCCAACCCATAAATTTTATTTAGAATAGTTAATAATGTATGCAGTATTGGACTCTGGTATACCATACTTTTCATGTTTTGTCTGCATCTCGTGTGCTTAATCTTAATTTATTTTGTATTTCTTCAATGAAGACGTTTTAGAATTTCTCTCATACTTGACTTGTATAGACATATACAGAATTATTTATGTCTTTGTCTAGTGCCAATGTTTTAAAGAAAGCCTTCCTTAACCTCAGCAGAGAGTAAAAGTCAGTGAGAAACTGTAAGCTAGCAAATAAATTAAAGACTTACACAATTGTTGTAAATAAAGATTCTCTTTATTTGTCCTATTATGTTTATTTTTTCTTTACCGTCTGTATGCAATATATTTTTGCATATCATTTCCAGAAGCTACATTTTGCAGATACATATCTGATGAATATCAATGAGCCTGAATAAGACAACAACAGGTGTGTATTTTTAAAGAAGTATTTAACCACAAAGTTTTAACTCTTTCAATAGTTAATTTTACAGTTTTTCGTTTGTTTTAGATGCTCCCAGTGACTTAATGGTAACCTTTATAGCTTACATACTGTTACGACAGCGGTAGTCACGTGCCTCTGGTAACACGTCATGATATTCTCGAAGAATCGGGGAACATCACGAATAATCCAGTATGTGCTAGGCGCCCTCTATGCCTATATATAAGTGCGCCGGTTAACGTGAGACTAATCAATCGGAATTGAATTGCAGACAGAGATAGAGACGGACAACTGAGTCAAGCGCGTAAATCGTTCGTTGTGAATTATAGCGTTTGTTTAAGTTATAGCGTGACTGTGGAAATTAAATGTAATGCAAAGTTGTATTGAGAAAGAATAAACTAGTTTTATTTAAGAAAGGATTTGTATCGCTAAAGTTTCTTCGAAAAGAATTTTTACAGAAAATTAACAAATGAACAGAGACGTAACAAATTGGTGTCAGGAGTAGGATGTCTTACTCCCTCCACTGTTGATGGCCTATAGGACAGCAGAGCATGAAACCACTGGATACACTCCAGCAAAGTTGATGTTTAGTCGGGAACTTCGGTTGCCAGTGGATCTGTTAACAGGACGCCCACCTTATGAAGAGTTGCCTGAAAATGTGTCAGAATTCGTGAAAGTGTTATCGAAAAGGATGGATGATATTCACCATCAAGTGCGTTCAAATCGAATCAGCAGACGTTTTCAAGGTTAACTTCATTATGATAAGAGATCTACTGAATTCAGCTTTGTACCAGGAGACAAGGTATGGTTGTATAATCCCAGGAAGACCAAAGGGAAGTCTCCTAAATTGTCTTCTCCATGGGAAGGCCAATATGACATAGTGGATCGTCTCTCAGACGTGACTTTCCGGGTAAAATGTGGTCGGTGAGGTAAGCCAAAAGTGGTGCATGCCAACAGGCTTTGGCGTTATCACGGTCCAGGACATTTCCTTTGGGATGAAGTGAACAATAGAACAAATGACGCTGCTGAAGACGTCCCACCTGAAGAAACCACTCTCAAAGAAGAAACGCTACTTGGTTTTGAGAAGGGGAAACGGTGAAGCTCTTGATGAAGTTTCTTTCACTGATGTGACTGTTACCGATGATAGGACATTTCCTGGTGAAGCAGATGAAACCCACGTGAAGCAGAAGCCAACGAGACGGAGACCAGTACGTCCTGTAAAATTAAGAGACTTTGTTGAATTGTAATTTTGTGTTTTTAATTCTGTACATTTAATTAAGTTATTGTTAATTGTTATTGGTTTATTGTAAGTGGCTATTGTTCGGGAGGAACAATACCAGGGAGGGGCAGTGTTGCGTCAGCGAGATCACGTGACTAGTATCATGCCACCCGTTTTCTAGAAATATCCTGTTCCTTCAAGAATGCCCTAGCATTTACTAGATACGTGTTAGTCTTGTATATATATATATAAGACGGTCAAAACGTGACGGAACAACAGTGTAGTTAGTAATTGAACTACAG